ACGGACCCCAAAAAACAGGGTGCTACACCTTGCAGGGAATCGGGTCACCTTCTGGGGCGAGGCCCGCTGTGTGAGCCACCAGCCTGTCCACACTAATCAAAATCATGCCCTTATTCAGTGCACACCATTCTGGCAATGACCATTCTTCTGAATTTTACTAAATTATTCTGTTAGCAAGCACCACCTTCTTCTGGCTGTAATTACGCTTTTTTTTTTTTTTAATGAAGCCATTTGCGGTGAGCTGACAGATGTAAGGCCGGGAAGTTCTTCCAGGCTTTGAGATAGTTACTGATGGGCTCACGAAACATTTCCACAGAAGTCTGATGTGCTCATGACTTTAATCTTTAAAAGTAAAGACTAAAGAGAGATTATGGAAGAGCTCACCTGTCTTGCCCTATGAGAACCTCTCATTTGTACAGTTTGAAGCTTAACAGCATTTCATAATAATATTCCAGTATTGTGACTCAAGTGATTTTAATTGGGAGGATTCTTACTCACATTTCATGGAAGGGCAGACTTACAACATTTGGAGTCTGAGGGCCCTAGGTAACCCTCTGGAGCATGACGAAACACTTGCTGTCTTGCAGAGAATTAAAATGACTTTCTCTAAATGTACAAACATTTCCCCACAAGCTTTTTTTCTTTTTCTGTTGCCATTCCTGTCAAGCTCATAAGACATTTAGCAGGCTCTCAGCGCAAGTCTCACGCTAATTCATTCTTTATTACAAGCTGACAACCCCTCACAGGATGCTGCTGTCTCCACTCTCTGAGACACTTATCCAAACGGCAAATCACGTGCCTCCCTGCAGCCGACACTGGCCATTTGCACGAGTGAGGAAGATCTGTTGAGGAGGGCTGTCAGAGGAAAGCCGTAGTGCTCATTCAGTGGCTTCTAAGTTGATCGTCATTGCTAAGTTTGAGTTTGAAATCAAAATCCCTGATGTTTAGCAGCTGGCTCATAGCCTTTAACCTCGGCAGATCCAGGAGGACCCAGACCTCGCTGGTGGATAAGCTCAGGCTTCACACGCCTCATCCCCAGTGACATCTGTGTTTTATCGAAACAGACACCTTAGTTAAAAATGTGTCTCTTTACATTTTCATCAGGCAGGAAATACAGTCCCAGACCTCGGGGGGACAGTGGTCCTGCAGAGGCAGGTGGACACACTCCCCCGTGGCCAGGCCTGGCACTGTCCTCACTTGCACGCCTCCCTCTGCAGATCTCCCTGTCAGCTCCCCCACCTTGGGGCTCACTTCTGCCCCTGGCACTGGGGATGGGGGAAGGATCACCGAGCTTGTCCTGCAGGGGCTGAGAACGGTTAGGTCCTGGTGGGTGCAGAAGACCCCCTTGGGACACGTTCCTCCAGGGCTGGGCTGGGAAAGCTGACCTCTTGTGAGAAGTGAGCCTGCTTTGAGTGTTTCACCAGCGACCAGCAGGGGGCGGAGGAGAGGTGAGGGGAGGGCCCGGGCAGCAGGTGCTGTAACATCGCGGGAGCATGCACACGGACAAGCGTGTCCAGGTGAGGTGGCTGCTTGGCATGGGGAGGCCTCCGGGGCTCTGGAATGCCCAACACAGAGGGCTGGATCAGAGCCCTAAGGTGACAGCAGCAGGTGCTAACAATGGCAGCCCAGACAGAGGTGAAGAAGCCGACTCAGGAGAGGGATGGATAAAGATCTGAAAGGAAGCCGCAGAAACCAGACAGGCTGTCTGAGCAGGAGGCTGGGGAAGCACAATCTTGAATCGCGTCATTCCCTGGCAAGAAGGGATGCTGCGTGCTCTTCAGTGTCTTGATTAATATCATGTCTTTGATTGTGTCATGGAATATGCACTTGGTTTTGAGCTGATACTTCCCATTACTGGTGAACTTTTGCTATGTGCGTGTCCTCCGAAGTGAAAGCGAACAAGCCTGGGGCTGATTTAGGCTTCTCTGGAGCAGACTTGAAGTGTCAGGTCCCACCTAGCATGGAAGGTCTTCAACGTATGGCTGACGAACTCCAACAGAAAGTCATGAGCCCCTCGAGATGCACGTGGATGCCTAATCACTTCCGCTTAGCGATGGGTTTTACAAATGCCGCCTCAGCCAAATGACAGTAAAGACCCTGTGTCCAGGGCGAGACGCTGGTGTGACGGTGGAGAGCCTGGCCCCGCGCCCCCTTGGACCACAGGCCTCTTACTCAGCGTCTCTGTGCCCTGGTCTTCTGGCCTGTGAAGTGGACATCCCAAGAGCACCTCTTCGAGGGCGGCGCTGGGTGAACGTCTGAGGCCTTTACACCGGCCCATGGCTCGCGCCGGACGCCAGACTCATCGCGTATTAACTGTGGAGGCGGTCTGCTGTCCTCAGGGCCAGGGCTCCTGCTTGAAAAGGCAGCTGCCTGCGCCCACCTACACCCCCTGGGAGTGCCATAGGGAGCTGCCTGCAGGGGCCCAGTCAGCTGTTTGTTAAGGGCGCAGGGGTGAGGCTCAGCCACCCAACTCAGCCAGGAGCAGCCCCTGAAAGCTCCGGCCTACCGAGCATCTTTTCCAAGGAATTGGGATATTTTTCCTCTGGCCCCATGAGCTTCTTAAGGGTCTACACCAGTGGTCTCTGGGGTGCGGTAAACACAACACAGAAGATATAAAAAAATGCCCCTGTAGCTGTAGGAAAGCTCTCTTAGGCGACTTCTTTATAATCATTTTTAATCTTGCCTTTGTTGGATATAAATTATTCATATCCTATAATTAGTATATAACTTGTAAGTGAAAGATATATACCCATACTTAAAGCATTTTCTTTGTTTTTCAAATGCTTTTTGGAAAAGGATCATTCTGATAGAGATACTGCCCGGATTTGTGGGGTCAGGTGGAAACGTGCAAGGAGTGAAATGAAATGAATTAACAGTAGAAAGAGGCGTAACGTGGGCAGGGCCAGGGGAAGGTTGTGCCTTACACTGAGGACCTGAAGAGAAGTCGCCTCTCGCCACCTGTCATCTCATGAGAGTGTCCATGAAGTTCTGGAAATTTCTGTAGTGTTATGGAAAGCAGCATGCATCCGCCAAAGTATGTCAAGTTCCTAGGGGCAGGCTGGGGTGGGGGAATCCCAGACAACGGGATGCTACACTGAGGTGGGTCTCCTACGGTTTTGGGGGCCGCAGGTTTCATCCCTGAACACTTAGAGGACCCTGCCCCTTTTGCCCATGTGGCTGCACAGAGGAACTCCTGCTCATCCTTCAGACCATCTCCACTGATGCCCTGGGGGAAGGCTGGGCAAATGACTTTAAAGAGCGAGACAGCGGATGTTCGAGGCTCCGCCAGCCATGTGGGATGAGTCACAACCGCTTCACCTGCTGGTTGCTGCTGTGGGGACAGCCACAGGTGAACAGGTGAAGGGGCGTGGCTGTTTCCACATATGGACACCCGCATGCAGCTCCCTTATAATGTGTACATGTCACAAAACGAATCCACCTTTTACATCAAGCCATTTAAATGTACTAATCGTTCCTAGCCTGCAAGCACTACCCAAGCAGGTAGCCAGGTGATTCGGCCCCTCAGTCACAGTTGCTGACCCCTGGTTTCGAGAAAAAGCTGTTTAAATGTGAATATTTTCTCCTACCTTTATTGTGACATAAATAAGTTTGTTATTTAGTTTTCTCACTATAGTTACTGTTTCATCAAACCACCAGAAGTTTATCAACAAGAGATAATTCTTGGGGAAGTGACTATGGGAGACAGAAGCAACCTAATCCCTCTGTTAGCAGTTTCTATTCAACGTAGACACGGAACGTCTCTGAGGTGGTTAAGTTGGTCTTCCATTAGGGGTGCCTGGACAGCAAATTATTTTAGTTAATAATATGCAATGTTAAATGTCAAAATAGCCCAACCACCCACAGGAGCTGACTCTAGGGATGAAGGCCAGAGAAATCCCGACAGGGGAAGAAATGGGTGTTCTTTTTCATCTGTGGCAAGATCTGTGTTATTAAGATGGGGTGACATTGACAATGCCACAAGTAAAATCAAGCATAGTCTGTGCCTTTCTCCCCATCATACATCAAAATGTAAATATCAATAATCAACTAGAAAAGCAACTTCGGGCGTCTGGACCTGGAAGCAGGTGCTTCAGCCTCCTGCCTCCCGGGCAAACTCTAGGGGCCTCTTGTGCAAGAAAACCAGTGATGCATGGCTGGGACCTGGATGCGAGCTTGTCTCCCCCCCGTTGTCAGGGGGCTAGCGGGGGGCATCCCTGGGAAGGAGAGGCCTTTACATCTGACAAGCAGCACCATAATATTTTCTAAATTTCACATACCATATGGCTTTATACAAATACCAGTTCTCGACATCTTAGTTATACTGATTTGATGCTTAAGTATTCTCTAGCTCCTTTGATCACAGCATCTGTCCAGTTATTTTACATATAGCTACATTTGCTGAGAGACCCTTGGCTTTCTTCCCATGGTCTTTCATTGTACTCGGTTCCAAAAATACATATAGTTATCATCTAGGAGAGCTATCCAGTTGATCGAACCGCAGGCAACTGTCTACACCTGACCGTTAAGTAATACCTGCAAGGATCCCACCCTGTATGTGTGTGTGAATTCTCAGTGGGTCTTACAAAATATGGGATATTTTCAGTAAAAATGTGTTTACCCCTAAGTTTGCCAAGTAGGTAGGTTTTACCATTACTGCACATTTCCCAGCAGAGCAACGCCTCTTCTGTCCTATGGAAAGTCTGTATGTCCTTGGAGTGTTTACAGTCATTAACCCCGAGGTACGAAGGAAGAGTGAGTGTCACCTCCTTCCTTTGCCTGCTTCCCACACAAGCCTCAGCCTCCTCCACCTGGCCACATGCTCTGGTGGCCACAGGGTGTCTTATCATCAGCACAGACAGGATGGGGAGGCGGGCCTCATGTTGTGAGGAGCGAGGACACATGTGTGCACACACATGTGCAAAAACACACGTGTGCGTGACTCCCTTCCATGAGGAGTCAGCTACCTCCCCCAGCCCCACCCTCCTGCAGGCCCCACACACCTGTGCTCGTGCGGTAGGTGCCGGTGTGGGCTGGAGGCAGAGGGTCCCCCTGGCTCTGGCTGAGACTCCTCATGGGAGGCTTCTGGTAGACGCGGTCTTCATAGATGGGGTCGATGTGGTGCTCTGGGGACTGCAGGGCCCGCAGCTCGGGGCCCAGGTGGCTGTGCTGGCTGCTGTATGAGGCCCGGGACCCAGCTGCAAGAGAGCACGGGGCTGTTACCACCCGGCCAACCGCCAGCGCGACTTGTTCTACCAGAGGCATGCTCCAATTTTTATATTTTTGGACAGAAATGTTGAAATCTGCAGAAAATCAAGTAACTCAGGAGATGGCAGTGTTACGTCGAGCTCGTCAGCTTACTGGCGTCGCCCAGCTGCCTCGCGTCCACCCGCTCACCCCAAGAAGGCCGCCACCAAGCTCAGGTAAGCCCATACGGGTCGGGCCAACGAGACGCCGGAATTATCACGTAAAGTAATGAGCCACTGAGGAAGCGCAGGCAAGCCCCTGTGCTGTTCCCGAAAAGTGATTCAGAGTTTGTGCCCATCAGCATTTTCTCGGGGACAAAGAGCACACCAAAACACTCGAACTTACAACAGCCTTGATCTCAGAGAAGTGCAGAGTGGAAAGGAAAGGGCCTTTAAGGTGAACCCTCCAAACTGGCGTCTCTGCCTTTGGTCACCTACCCCCCAAAAGGCCTGAATGCTGGTCATGGGCTCGTTTAATTGACAGAAAGAGGCAACAGGTCCCTGGCCCGGTAACAGGTGCAAATCCTCATGGTATCGCTGGCTGTACCTTGGGGAGCAGGTGGGTCTGAGTCTGCTGGGAACATACTGCCCACGAGGCCACAGGCCCCTGAGCGCTAGGGGCTGAGGCATCACGGAGAGTCGCCGTCTCACCTGCGTCAAAGCGGAGTGCGTGCAGAAGCTCCGTGGGGACCACGGAGGACATGACAACGAAGGGGGTGCACGTCTATCCATGGTGAGTGGACAACACACAGCAACGAGGCTACCCCAGGTTTTAGGAAAGACCCTGAGCAAGTCTCCAAAGCTCGTAATGCCCTGTGGTCTGGTGGGATTCAGTCGTCAGGACTGCCCTGTCCTCCTGACACAACAGGGAGTTCTTGATGCCATCAGTGTCTGGGGTGGCTCTGCTTTGTCCCGACAACCTACAACCGCAACTATGCCAAAGCCCGAAGCTTAAAAGCTGGAACATCTACTAATGCTGGCGTCTGAGCCCGAGGATTTGAATCTAGTATGTTACAGGATAAAGCCATTCAAAAGCTTTGAGATTGCTGACAGATACAGTTCTGACTGGTAGACAGGCAGCTTTAAATTTAAATTGACAGAAAACAGCACTTCTGAGCGGCCGGCAGTGCTGAGAGGTCGATGAATTCAGTGTTTATAGACATTACTGAGAGTTTGGATAAAGGGAAGCATTGGGGCAGGCGAGTTCCTTACCTTTCTCCATGCAAGTAATTAAATAAAATGTGATGTAAATCGTGTTCGGATGAATGATGGATTCAAAATAACTGTTTTGCATAATGAGGTTCACTGCATCCGATTTATCAAATGCCAACATCACACTGAATATTATCTTAGGCTCCTAATTTCCAGGAATGTATTTAAGCATGCTATGCCTCGAGTTCCTGCTGTCAATTCTTCCTACTCCTGGAGGTTTGATAATATTGCCAAGGACTTCACAAGTGTTAAGGAAAGGAAATGCTTTATATCCCAAATGCGATGCAATTAACTATAAGTTATCACCACTGGTAGTTTAGCATTGTAACTGTATTCCTTGACTATAAGCCTCCAGAAACATCTCATGATGGAACAGGAGACGTCCTGAAGTAGCACAGTTATCAGGCACATGTGAAAGCATCCTTACAATGAGCACTTACTGGACAGTGGGAGTCTGTGTTAGTTCCGCGAATGAGAAATTAATGACCAGAGTCTAAGCCCAGGGATAAGAATCTTGAGATATGATCTATGAACCTCTGTGGCCATCAGACTTTCAACATGCTGATTCTCAGAACTATCATAGTAAAAGTATTAAGTATGTGACTAGTATCCTATCTTCTTTCTATTAGCTAGCTCACGGTAAAATGCTAACTTCATGATGTTTCTTGCTGGAAGTATCTGTGCAAAGACCATGTGCACACGAATGTCAGGTACAGCACCTTCAAACGAGTGTGGCTCTTACTCCTGATCCAGGAGCTCATTCTATCGGATTCACATCAACCAGGAGTATCTTAAGTTTGTGGATTTTGAGCAAAGATTTCTCACACCACCTCTTCTGGGAATATATTCCAAGTGTTATGAGACAGTGAATATATTTGCTGACTCCATGAAAATGCACCTTTGCCCTAAAATTTCTTTCTCTATTCCAACCCACTTGACATTGAGTTCTGCATAACAACGAACTCCAAATATTAGGGAACATTTACGTCTCTGCTTGGACTGGTACCATGTGAACATAACAGGAAGAGGCCAAGAAATGTTGACTTTGTCCAAAAGATACCAGATGTCAAAAACAATTAGGAGAACAATTCTGGAAGTTTCCTTTTGACCGATGTGAGGGGTCAGGACTGCAACCTAACAAAGGACAAAAGCCAGCGAGCAAAAGAAAGCAGACATCACAGCCCAGACCTCCTACAGGACACAGGCTGTCCACTGGCGTCCTGCCTGTACAAAGCACTTCGTGATCAATTTCTGCCATAGTGCTCACAAGCTTTCAACACCATCAGAGGGTTTCACTCTTCCTCCTCCTCTTCACTGGGCAAGGCTTGGTCTAGAGAGAGTAGGACTGGCAACTGTCATATAAAATGTGTTTCTGTCATATAAAATGCAGAATCCTGCAACATGAATGCCTGGCTCATGGAGCTAAAAGAGGCTGCAATGCAGGAGAGTGAAATGTGTTTCACAGTCCAGATACTCTCTGTGCAGATGATGGACAGCTGGGTGAAGCTGCAGGCCCTGTGTGCAGAGCTGCCATCTGTCACAGGACACTGGTCACTGCTCACTGCAGCTAGGCGGATTGCACGGCCATTCAGATGATACAAAGTCCAAAGCACCCCTGCTACTGGTCTGAGGTGAAGGTGTGGAGGCGAGGGGGAAGGGCTGGTTCAATCCTGTGGCTGAACAGGGGTTCAGGGACTCAAGGGTGGGTAGACTGAAATGCAGTGCAGTGCATTTGGATATCCAGTTTCACCCCAGCACCATCATTTACATGAGCTGGAACTCATGTTTCACTATCCTCTTAGGCACAGGACGGTGGCAGATACAACACACTTCACTAATCCCACCGCTGTTCATTTTGTCAATTCTTCCGGAACCACTCTGTGCCCCCGACCTGCGTCTAGCCAGCTGGGTGAATCAAGGCATGTCAGCCAAGCTCTCTGAACCCCATTTTGCTCAAGGGTAAAAATACAGCAATAATTGCCCCTTCCTGGTGGCACAACAGTTAGGACACAGCACTGCAAGCGAGCCCACAGCGGCTTCAGCATGAGTTCGATACCAGGCCCGAGAGGTGACCACATGGCGCGGCAGACCTCTCCTGACCACCCGCTGCTCCCCTCAGCAGTGTATTTTGTCCATCAGCCTGTTCTGCTCCCCACTGTCTCTGGTGAAGCCTCTCACCCCCCTGCACCTCTGGCTTGTACATCAGTTCTGTATGCATAAATAAATGAATCTTAAAAAAAAAAAACCACACACAGCTAATAATACCAGCATTTGCAGGACAAAAGGTTGTAGGGCATCAGGGTGAGTGTGGGACAGTCAATGCTCAACTAGTGATGAAGCAATGTGAATCTAGCAACACGCTCATGTCATTCAACTGAGAACCAAGAAATTATGTCATCTTGGGAGAACAAATCCTCTGTATAGGATTCAGCTTCCTGGAAGTGGAAACTGTGTGGATCTCTCTTGGGAGGGGCTTCTTTTTTTTTTTTTTTTTTAAAAAAAAGATTTATTTATTCATACAGAACTGGGGTACAGGCCAGAGGCTCAGGGGCGGTGAGAGGCTTCACCAGAGACAGAGTGGGGAGCAGAACAGGCAGATCGACGAAGTACACTGCTGAGGGAAGCAGCGGGCGGGTCAGGAGAGGTCTGGCTCGCCATGTGGTCTTCCCCGGGGCAGGCGGCAGGCGGGAATCGAACTCATGCACAAGTGGCTTCAGATTCTCAGTGCTGTGCTTTAACCCGCTGCGCCACCAGGGAGGGCCGGGAGGGGCTTCTTTAACTCTGCTCCCCAAAGCAGTCTCCCCGGGGGGATGCAGCAGCTTGCTCCACCTCCTCTCTGGTTGTGTAACTCAGGCCCGGCAGAGCAGCTTGTGACGGGGCCCTTCCGGGCTGGGGTGCGGGCCTCAGACCTACCGATGCTCTTCTTCACCAAATTCACGCCATCATCTCATCTGTCCCTGACAGTGTAGCTGGACTCTGGCTTCCAAAACTCATGCTTATGAGTGATGATGGGCAGATCCATGGAATGAATCCAGAAAGAGGTGCTCATCCCATCTTTTCTGTTCTATTGAGCTTGCTGCTTTCCAAAGTACTGTGGGCCCTGGGGCCTTGAAGCTGAGCTTTGTCTTCGAGTAGGTGGGTTTGCCCTGATGAAATACTCAGTATAAGGACAAGGACAAGGAGAAGGACCGGTCATGAAAACTAACAGGCTTAGCACACCACTTTATTACGAAACCGGTTCAAGTATTTTAAAAATAGGAGATGAAGATCTTGCACCTTGAACACTGGCCTTTTACTCGGTCCCTACTAGAGATATGCTGCACAAATTCCTCTTCAAAAATCAGCTACTTAGCTTCTAAAATGCAGCCCTGAAAGGGATTCTCCCTGCATCATTTCCCTGCTGGTTTACATGATTCACCACAGTCAAACAGTGGCCTGAGTGGTTATTCCAGAACAAAAAGACATCAACTCTTGACATATTTGGAAGAGGAAAGATGGCAAACAAGCTGCTTCAAAGATTAGTCATTCTCTATATTTACATTTTATAAATTAGTTATAGCACCACTGAATTTGATTTTTTGTTATTTTACTCAGTGTAGGATTTGGCATATAAAAATGTTTACAGCAAGTGATGAATTGCATTGTATTACAAATGGTTCACAGGAGGCCTAAAATGTTTCCATGATTCTTTTCTGGTTAAAAGCTTAAAGATGTGTGTGTGTGTGTGTGTCCCTTTTGCA